TTTTCCTTGATGGAATTTGCTTATAAAAACAGTTACCAAGACCAGTATCGAATGCCTCCATATGAAGCTTTTATATGGTAGAAAATGTAGGCACCCCTTATGTTGGGAATGAGTTGGTGAAAGGAATTGCTAGGTCCCTGAAATTATTTCAACAAAGCAGAAGAGAATCAAAAGTAATTTAAAAGAAAGATTGAAAGCAGCTGCAGATAGACAAAAGTCATATGTGGATCTAAAGAGTAAGAGATATAGAGTATAATGTGGGTGATAAAGTAATTCCTTAAGGTTTCCCCTTGGAAGCGTGTTATGAGATTTGGTAGAAAGGGAAAATTGAGTCCCCGCTTCATAGGACCTTAATGAAATACTTGAGAGGATTGTCCATTGGCAATATAGGTTAGCCTTCGACCAGAACTCGATAAGATTCATAAATGTTTTCCCCATGTTTCTATGCTTCGGAGATATAAGATCGGACGCCTTCCACATATATTGCCTGTAGATCAATGGAAGTTAATCGAGACTTCACATATGATGAAGAACCAGTGCTATCATAGCTAAGGAAAGTTAAGCAACTTCGGAATAAACAGATTTCCCCTTAGTTAAAGGTGTATGGAGAAGCCACTCCAGAGAATGAGGCTACTTGGGAACGTGAAGAAGATATAGAAGACAACATCCACAATTATTCAGAGATCTATAAACAGGTAAAATTTCGAGATGAAGATTTCTTTAAGGAGGGAAAGAAGTTGTAATATCCTCAACTTGTAGTCCTGCTATTCTAGCTTTTTCGATGAAATTTAGTTATCCGAATAAAAGAAACTTAGAAATAAATTGGGAAAACACTAAGATATTTGAGGATGTGAATATTAATTAAATGGTAATTAATGTGAAATTACAAATCAATTTTTGAAGATTAAAGGAAATCAAAAATGATTAAAGAGGAATGACTTCTTGAAGAAAGCACGATTTTACCTAAGAAAGCCCGAAAAAATTGTAATTTGAGTATGACTTTTCTTAAGTGGGTTAGAATATTAAATACACTGGTTGATACCTAATAGGAACTAAAGTAAAGTGATTAAAAAGATTAGAGTGCAAAGGATGAAGGAAAAACAAAAGGGAGGATTATAGTGCAATTTTCATTTAAAGGACATGAAAGGAATTTTTTAATAATGTTTAGTATATATTATTAATGAAGAGATGGAGATAACCATGGCCATTTTTCCACCCATTTTTTTACAGCCCAAAGTCGTTCCAAGAAGAGAGGAGGAGAGTTTTTGAGTACAAAATCAAGCAAAAAGGAGGTGAAATCAAGGAAATTTTCAAGTAATTTTAAGAAAAGGTAGTTATCTTTCACTTCCTCTTCTTTTCTATGGATTAATTTTTGAATTCCATGAACTTTGAAGTGAGGTGCTTGCTTGTTCATTCTGATTTGGTGAAGATGAAGTGTTTAGAAGTGATTTTAAAGGGTGATTTAAGATGATTTGAAACTAGTTATGTATGAAATTCAAAGTCTAATTGCATAATTCACCAAGATGGATGATTTTGAGTTTGTATTTGGATATCCATGACCTTAGGGAATATTGATATATCTTATATTATGATTTAGTAAGTAATAGAAGAGTTGAATTGCATGAATTTTGTGCTGGAAGTGAGTTGAGAATGCTTAAGCCAAACATATCATTGTTGGAATCTATTACAGTTGGGCTGTCTTGAACTTCAGCTTTCTGTATTGAATACCCTATTTGACTAAGAAAATGAACTTTAAAATTCATGAAATTTTAATCGCATGAGATAGGCTGAGATGGTTGGGTATGTCCGTGTTAAAAAGGGAAACGGCCATTGGATAAAAGGAAATGGAGTTTATATTAAATCAGTGCAGGCCTGCTCAGCATGAAAAAACTTGAAATCAAGATTCTATAATTATGTCATTTTACAAGGCAAATGAGCTTTAAAAATTATTGAATTTTACAGGGAAAGTACCCTAAGATGTTGGGAACATGCCTGTAAAAATTTCAAGGCCAAATGAATAATGAGGAATGGTAAGATATAGCCACGGAATGCAAGCTGCTCAATTATTGCTGAATTCTGCATTTCATAAACATTGAATGAAATTTAGCATGCCATTGACTTCTATTGTTTTAATTGTTAGTAAGTATGTTTTCTAGGATGTGTTAAGTGTTGGATAATGAAGTGGTTTCATCCTGAAACTAAAGGTCATATGACACTTGGACAAAGCATAGAGGAAAAGTGAAAGAAAAGCATGACACAAACATTTCTAATGCCTTTAATTTGCATTCCTATAGAAAAAGCATAGTGTTTCAAATGCTTAATGCATTCCTATATTGTGTAGTATGAAGTTAATTCAGTAATTAATCTCATGCTACAAGCTTCTGAAAGAGAAAGGGAGTTTGAGGAGAGGGTGGTTGATAGAGGAAAAAGGCTAGGGGAAGCCTTCTACGCTCAGGTTGTGTACTATGCCTTTCCTACTTTTTATTTAAACAAGAATGAAGAATTGATTTTTGCACAATTATTTTCAATGGATTTACTTTATGAATCATAATTATAAAAAGTATTAATGATTTCACATGTTTTTAAAGAAACAAAGCTTATTTTTGGAAAAGCATACGACTAATGACAATATGTAATGAATTTTATTTGAATTCTTAATACCTTGAAATGAGAGGATGTTGGCCATTGATTTTTGTAGTATGAGGGGTGGGCCGTAACTAAATGAATTTTAAGTAGTGTTGTGAAATGAAATGTTTGCCCACAGTTGATTTTAATATTAGTACATGAAGGAATGGTTTTAAAAAGTCCTTACAGCTGATATAGACATGGTTATTACCCCGAATATCACTTCATTTGTTGAAGTTGAATATTACGAATCGATTGAAATATGGATATCATCACTAGATGAATATTTATGATTGATATGAAATTCCTCCCTCCATGTTGAGGTTGTAGATTGCTCCCTCTTCTTATTGAAATCATATCACAGATTGAAGGTTGTAGATAGCAGGTTCCTAGATGTGCAACATTAAGACACTGATGGCCCTCCGAATTGATTCTATAAAAGCTGTAAAAAATCTACATTATGAATTTATGAATTTAAAAATGGTATTTTTTTTTCTTATTTCCTTTAACATGGTGGGTTTATGAATTATGCTTCATTATTTCATATAAAGAGTTTTGATTTGATAAATTTGTGTTTTGTTTATAATAGGACACCACTAAGCAAAATGCTTAGCGATAAGTTGCTTTGTGCAATCGCAGGAAAAAAGGGCAAGGAAAAAGAACTAGGAGGAAGATCGTTTTTGTTTGATTTAGATAGTATGCCTACTGATGTAGCTAATTGTATATTGACTTTTTTGAAAATATGTATGATGTATTTAAACCATTAAACAGAACATCTATGTTATATTTGAGCAGATACATGGTAAATTATGATTGTATGAATATCTATTATGTATCTAAGGTTTGAAAGATTTCAGTATGTAATTAAACCATCCATGGGCATTTTATGGGTTATGGAAACCATTTTATGTTTTTGCTAATATACATTGGATGTTAAGAATATCATATTGAGCTTAATGGAAGTTTATGTTTCATATGTTTAGTAATTAGACATTTCTTTATAACAGTGGAAAGAACCAAAAAAGGAGTTTTACATTTAATAAGTAAATCTACTTTTCTAACAAGAATATAAATGAATGAATCCAACAATATTAAGTCCTTGTAGTATACTTAGTAAGTATACTTAGTAAGCATTTATAAGACTTAAGTGCTTATTAAGTATATTACGGGCGACATGCCATGTCTTACAGTAAGGTAAGGTGTGACATTTACATATTTGATATATTGATTCATCTTTATATAATTTCACTTTTAAACCAAGCGAATCACTTTTGACCATCTAAGGAAAACTAACTTGTTATTATTTTTTATCTTCCAATTAAAAAGTATTCATATCCTCATTTCTAATTTCATACTCATATAGGAGGTCTAAGAGTTTTTTTCATTTTTATAAAAACAAAAAAAATTGCATAAAATTTAATCAAAATGGGTGCTTTTGGACTCCAATTGAAACCTCTTGTTAAAGAGAAAATTATAATTTTGTCCTTATAGTTTGGTATAAATAATAACTTTGTCTTTGTATTTTTACAAATACACTACGATATCCCTAATGTTTGCCCCGTTACATTAGTTTATCCTTCCATCCAGTTTAGCAGTTAAAAATATAGGAAAAGACAATATTGGCCCTCAGCACACACAATTTTTTTGCTCTCTCTCTCCCTCTCCCTCTCCGTTGAGCGAGCATGCCTCTCTCTTCCATACCCAATTCCGACCACCAAACTGACGAAGGAAGGAGGTGATCGACTCACCTCGTGTTGCTAGTCAAGTTTCCAACCTCCTCTCAGGCAAAAAGAGCCTTCGTTGACGCAAATCAGAGCAGTTTTTCGTAACAGCTCTTGATCATCGATTTTCAGCGATTCACGCCATTTCCGGTGGTTCTAGCTTTACGGGCAAGCATCGATTGATTTCCCACCCTCGTGCAACCATTTTCCCTTCACCAGTTCCGGCTATGGAACTGGATGGCGAAACCACCATGAACGGTGGTGTTGGAGGCAGCTATGATTGCTAATATACTTAAACATAAGGGTGTTTTGGGGAGAATTTATGTTCTCTCTCATCTGACTAACACTTTCTATAGTGACTTCCATAAAAAAATGAATAAATTTGGACGAAAAGATAAAATAATGTAATGGAATTAAACATTAGGGATATCATAGTGTATTTTTAAAAATACAAGGACAAAGTTATTATTAATGGCAAACTATAGGGACAAAATTATAATTTTTCCATTGTTAAATGTGAAATTGCAAAGGATTCTACTATAGTGGTTTGAAAAATATGGCCATAGATTTATAGCCCTAGTATATTAAAATACCTTAAAGTTTACATCTTATTTCAATTTCATCTATTTTTGATATGTGTGAATTACCCGAATTGTGACCTTTTGTACTGACATCCTAAATTGCAATTATGGTTTGAATTGTAAATACAAAACTATTTATTACAAGAATCATCAAAAGCTTAGGATCACTTAGTGCACACTATTGGACAAAAACATAGTTCTTAAGCCCAATCCGACCCGGTGGTCAACTAGAAGAATCGATGAACCGACTTCAAAACTGGCTTGAAGACATGGACTCTTGCTTTCACTTTATTGCTTGCTCCCTTCTTATTATCAACATCTTGTGAAGTATCCCTATTTGGTTGTCATCTTTAGCATGCCCATGATAGAAATCATGGCTAATCTTTCCTTACATCGTCATTTACGCTTTTAAGGCTATATTTCTTGCCTCTTGAACACCCATGACCATTTGAATACTTATCTTATCTTGGATGAAACATTCGAGTCACTTTAATTATCTTGCTGATTATTGATTATCATTTTTCAGCTAAGTGATTTATTGTCGCTAATCTCAAAGATTCAAATGTATACTCATATACGCTTCAGGTTCCTTGTGAGAAATTTTGATAAGATTCAAAAAGGTATTATTTAACATATTAATAAACCTCAGCCAATTAATCTAAGAAACCTTCAACGTCGATGTCATCGATAAAAGTAGGGATGTCTTGGTAGACTCTATTGAATCTTCCATGATGTTTCTGTGATGCATAAATCATGTCTTCTTCATCATCACTATAATCGTTTTGATTATTAGCTTGTCTAGGATTTAGAAAGATATGATCTTCAATATCTTTGTCATGGTAAACTCCTCCAGCTTTTCAATTATGCTGTTTTTATTTTCATCTCCACCTCTTAACAAGGTGCACAATTGGATTTGAATCTCTTGTAGTTGGCGCTCCATATTACAAGAAGATAGCTGTTGTTTATCGATTGCTCTCCAAACATCTTATAACCATTAATTTCCATCGTGAGATTGATTGCCACCTGATACAACCTAACATAGCGAGTAGCATAGAAAAGAATCGACACATGATCAAACCTTTAATAGCAACCAAGATCTAATCCAAGATCTTAAATAAAAAAGATTCAATCCAGAACCTTAAGATAAATAAAGCAGACACAGCTTTATTAAAGAAATTTCATAATATTTAGCTGCAGATGAGTCTTCCTTATTATTCAAATTCTTGAAAGCAAAATATTTTCCTAACAGATCTTTTATCACATCCAAGTCCGGTTATAAGGCAAGCTTCACCTGGCAAAGCATTTTTAAAGCCCATCCATTAATTGATCAAGGATCTAGATGGCTCATGAGTAAAGAAAAAAAGAATTGTAGTAGACAAAATGACTTTATTATTTTAAAGAATGGTTAATTTTCTCACATCCAGCTTCTTAGAAAGCTAGCTATATATAAGCTATTATAGATATGGTTGTTGCACAAAATAAGAATGAAAAAGATTATGGATATGGTTGTTACATAAATTAGAATAAAAAAGATTATGATATCCTCTAATTCAACAATAAACCATTGATAAAAAATATTAGATATAGCAATCAACCAGTTGGAGTTTCCCATTTACCTATTGAACTTCCAATTACATAGGAATTTGTTACTCTTTGGATATCTTTGTCAACAACCATATGGCCTTTGATATTTTTGTGAGTATTATCATCCTTATCACTCCATGATTAGTGGGATTATCACTCCATGAACTCACAATCAAGAAGAGGATGTTGAGTGTTAATATCCCCCGCAAACTGAGTCGGGGCTGAAGGCATAGTTTGCTACGAAAAAAGCAATGATAGCCTTGGGGGCAGGTTTTAGTAAATATATCAACAACCTATGCATAAAAGGACACATGTTTAGTGATAAGTAATCCAAGAGCAACTCGTTCAAGTACGTAATGGTAATCCAGTTTGATATGTTTACTCCATGCATGGAAGACAAAATTGATGGTCAGATATAAAGCACTGATTTAAGCTCGAAAATGACTAGTCAGGTATCAAGAATTGATTTGATGGTCGAGAGAGCACCAACAATTTTGCGAAAATGATTGGGATCATTAAGAGTAGTATCAGCAACAAAATTGGATTTAACCTCTAGAGATGTAGGCATGGGATGACAATGAAGCATATGAGACTGTTTAAGAATGGTAAGTGCACAATGAGACTGAGATAGATGTAGCCCACTAATGTAGTCGAAATCTCAATGCCAAAAAAATAATGCACCGGACCCAAATCCTTCATAGCGAACTCACTGCTTAAAATCTGAATAAAAGAGGTAATAATTTCCATGGGGATCCTGGAAAAAGCATATGATCAACATAGAGAAGTAAAATAAGTAAACTGTTAGCAGAATGAGAAATAAAGAGAGACGGATTAGCCAAACTACAAAAGAAACTATATGAGATAAGGAATTTGCTGAGGCTATCAAACCAAGCACGAGGTGCTTGTTTGAGTCCATACAGAGCACGTTGGAGTTTACAGACTTGTAAACGATTTTATGGGTCAGTCATACCCAGTGGTTGTTCCATATAAATGTCTTCAACGGTGTTTCCATGTAAAAAGGCATTCTTGATGTCGAGTTGACGAATGGGCCAATGTTTTACAAGAGCAATAGTTAAGACTAAACAAATTGCATCCGGTTTTATGACAGGAGAGAAGTTTCTGTGTAGTTAATACCATCATGTTGAAGATAGCCTTTGGCAACGAGACGAGCCTTGAGACAATCCAACGTACTATCAAGTTTGAGCTTAGACTTAAAAACCCATTTGGATCCTATTACATGCATATTCGAAGTGCAGGGAACTAACCGCTAAGTTCTATTCTAGTGTCGTGTAGCAACTTCATCAAGCATAGTGACCTTCCATACAGGATATGAGAGGGCAAATTTAATGTTCTTCGGTTCACGATGAATAGTAGAAGATGAAGCTATTGTTCAGGCATAATGAGGATTTGGCTTAATAATGCCAAGTTTGGATCTAGTCACCATAGGATGAATAAGAGGTGCGTTATGAGAACACAATGGGTTCGAGGGAGGGGACACAGGAGGAGAGCCATGGTCATTAGAGGGTAAGTCAGTGTGTTATGCAAGAAGACTGTGTTTGGTAGAGGTAGGAGAAGAAAGATCCGTCCCAAAAGTGTCTATCACAGGTATATCACGGGGTGAATCTGTTGCAAAATCGGTCGCAGATTGTAAGTCATCAACTAACGGTAAAGGAATAGAATTTGGTGAAGTAAGTAATTGCAAAGGTGTACCTGAATTAAGAGGGGTGTTAGAAGAAGGCAACCAAGAATTGAAAATATTGAGAGCATGTGAGACAATAGAAGGAACAGATAAAGACTTAAAGGGAAAAATCATTTTGTCAAAAACAACATTGAGAGAAATAAAAAATTTTTTAGCGAAAGGATGGAAACATTTGTAACCTTTATGTTTTTCACTATATCCTACAAAAATACACAAGACAACTTTCGGATCAAATTTATAATGTCTTGTATCCCAGGTATACGGAAAACATTTAGAACCAAAGATGCGAATTGATGTGTAGTTAGGATGAGTGCCATGTAATTTAAAGTATGGAGTGTCAAAATGAAAGGATGAAGATGGTAACCTGTTAAGAAGAAATACTGCTGTGGTAAATGCTTTAACCCATCAATAAAGAGTGCATGACTATGAAATAACATTGCTATACCTCTCGCGTATAGTTCGATGCCTCCTCTTAACCATACATGTTTGCTCCGGAGTATAGAGCCATAAAATTTGATGTAGAATACCTGTCAAAAGAAAATATAATGACAACGTAGAATTGACAAATTATCCACCACCATCTGCATGGAATATCTTTATTTTTTTATTAAACTATCTTAAGACATATTGTTCAAAACCTAAATAGGCAGGAAAAAAAATTAGATTTATGTTTCAGGGGAATAATCCAAGTATACTTTGAAAAGTCATCAACTGAACATACGTAGAATTTAAACTTGTCGGTAGATAATATAGGAGCAGTTTCCCACAAATCACAATGAATCTTATAAAAAATACTAGAACTAGACTTTTCAAAAGAAACGAAAGGAAGTTTGCTAAGTTTTCCTAATTGACAACTATCACATAAATGTTGAGGCCGTGAAGGATCGATAACATCAATGAATCTTTTTTTTTTTTTTTTAATAACTGAATAGTTGAAGCTTGAGGATATCCTAATTGTTGATGCCAAATATCTATAGTGCCAAATTTGAAATGATGAGAGAAGTGTGCTTCTATTGGCAATGTGTCTTTGAGTAGAAGTCGTGACTTATCAAACCTGTTGTAAGCAATGTTCTGAGAACCGGACCGGTAAGTAAATCGATGAAGGTAGGGGTTCACTAAATCATAAATATTTTATTAAATAAAATTTAAAATATAGGTTTAAAAAAAATTTTTGATCTCAAAGAAAAAAACAGTTTCAAATTTGGCGTTTACAAAAAGAATAAAAAATAAATAATTTTAAATAAAAATAACAGTATATGAATAAATTTAATATTAAAAAATTAATTAATTACCATAAAATATATTATCATTTTTCATATGTGGTTAAAGTTAAGGAATTTAATTGTTTTAATTAACATTATAGTACTTTGGATTTACAAATAAAGAGGCCCAAAAATTTAAAAATCAGTGGGCCCAAGTTTTAAGAGACCCAAAATTTTTAAAAAATCCACATTTTATGGAAAAATTCAAAAATCAAATCGAAACTATCTATAAATGGTTTGGTTCGTTGATTTTTAGTTGGTTTTCATCCAATTTTTACTAGTTCATATTGGTTTTTTAGATGCCCAATTCTCTAGTGCGACCCGATCAAACCATAGTCCGGCTCCCAGTCGAACCGGTCGGTGTGATCCGGTTTTCAGAACAATGGTTTTAAGTTTAATTGTTTGTTGCTTTTATTTAGGAGTCAATAATAATTTAATCCCTACTCTTTAGGCTATTGGTGTTAGTGGGCTTTGTGGTCAAGTGACGTTGCTTATGTTTAGGAGCCATGTTTAAGTTTGTTATTGATTTTCTTCTATTTAAAGAGTCTGATGTAATAATGAATTACACAAGTCAATCAAGTATTCATTCCATTATTTCTCATAATACTTTGCTGTCAATATTTATCAGCTTCTGGTGTATCAGATAAAACATACAGGTTATGCTTCCTTTTCTTGTTATTAAGGGGTGTCCTGTTTTTCATTCCTTGACATAAAAATCAACATTAGAAAATTCACAGTTAACAGGGAATCGAGAGGTTAATTGACTATCGAAAGTAAATTTTTTTTTAGCTTTGGAACTAAAAGAACATCATGAAGAGGCAAAGTCTTTTTCTGTTTAACATATGAAGTACCAATACCTATTCCAGGTAGAAAAGAGCAATCTCCAATTATGAGAGAATAGACCAAGAATTTTATGAATATTAGTCAACATGTTGGGCTTACCTGTCATGTGATGGGAAGCTCCTGTATCAGCAGTCCATTCTGTGTTAGCAATGGTGTTGTCTAAGGTGAGGGCAGCAAGAGCTTATGGAATTGAATCACGTTGAGTCATCTGTTTCGGTATCCACTAATAAATTTTGGGAATATGGCCTGAATTCCCACTAAATTAACATATTTCATTTTGATACAGATCTCCCTCTACGACTGTCATGCGTCGTTTACCTAGAGGTGGTCTTCGTTGTTATGCAGCTAATGTTGGGTTGTGTAGAAAACTTTAGTTTTGGTTTCGTGGCTATTGTGCCTGAAACCCCATGACCAGAGGAGGTGAAGGTACTTTTGCAATTCCTTGAAGGAGTACTTTGAGATTGTTTCTGTTGCCCATAAAAGGTTAAGTGTGGGGTGAGTTAAGAAAAAAGATGCATCTGTTTGGTTTGAAAACCAATTACGACGCTGATCAAAATTTTGTAATTGTGAAATCAGCTCAAAATAGGTTGGTCTTGGAGGTTTCGGTGTCATTATTGTAAAGGTTTCTTACTAATGTCCAAGACTTGTAAGAAGATAGAAGACTTTTTCTTTGTTTCGTACAGGTTTCGCAATGGCAGCAAGATTATCACACAAGCCCTTAAAGATGCATGTGTGATCTCCAATGGTTTTGTTATCATGCTTGCGAAGATAAGTTAGTTGTTGTCGTAGCATAAATACTCCCTCTTGAGAATCCTGTGCATAAGCATCTTTCAGTGCTTCCCAGATTGCATATATTGTATCTAAACCAATGACAAGTATGAGAGTCTCTTCAGAGAGAGTGCCGATGATCCAACCTTAAAGAAGATGATAACTTTTGCCAACCAATGAATTCTTTTATGAGTTGTTGTATCGTGTTTTCTATGGCATTTGGATCTAGAGTAGTAAGTTTTGATGGAGCTAGGGTTTCATTGATGAGATGACTAACAAAATCTTGGATTTCTGCTAATCTTGGAATTTGTTCTGTCCATAATGGATAATTTGATTGGGTGAGCTTTAAGGTGACGAAATTTCCAACATTCACACATAATGAAGTCATGGAAAAAAAAGAAGACAGGAACGTTCCTACTCTGATACCACGAAGAAAAAAAGAATTATAGCAGACAAAATGACTATTATTTTAAAGAATGGTTACTCTTCTAACATCCAGCTTCTTAAAAAGCTAGCTATATATAGGCTATTATAGATATGGTTGTTGCACAAAATAAGAATGAAAAAGATTACAGATATGGCTGTTAAACAAAAAAAGATTAAGATCTCCTCTAATTCAGCAATAAACCATTGATTAAAAATATCAGATATAACGGTCAATCAGTTGGAGTTTACCCTTCATCTATTGAACTACCAATTACGTAGAAATTTGTTACTCTTTGGATATCTTTATCACCAACCATGTGGCCTTTGACATTTATGTGATTATTATCATCCTTATCACTCCATGATTTGTGGAATTCCTTATCACTCCATCAACTCACACATTTGGTATCAAGATGAGGCTGTTGACTGTTAATAGTGCACAATGGAGCAAGGATTCGTGTTTTAGAGGAGCAACGGGTCCCATCACTGCCTCAGAATCGGGTTCTTTCAGCCTCATCTTTATCGAAATCAGGAACTTGCATTTTTAAATTGATTGATCATGAATCTGTTAGCTGGAGGTAAGACGTGATCCAAGAGAATATCAGTGACATAAAGGCACTCGCTATCTTTAAAATTCCCATCACTTCCTTTAGGGAGAGTGATGTGCTGGTTTGAAACTTTTATATGAATGAATTATTTACAATTTTATTTGCATATTTTTTTGCACTTCAATCCCAGATGGAAGATATCCCTTCCTGATTTGTTAATGCAAATATAGGCATCTTCAGTCATCGCCTTCTCTCAAATGTCTTGCCAACAAAAAAATTTTGCTTTGCAGGAGAGGTGTAGTCTCAGACCCTATTTGTGGTACCTATGGTGAAGAGGCTAAATCCTTCGAGCATATTTTCCTCATTGTTCTACAACGATAAGGGTTCGGCGTCTGTCGCCCCTGCGTTTGACACTTCCGTTATTTCTCTATCTTGGCTTAACTGGTTTGTGCAGTTAATGGAATCCCTCCGTCGGGAGTAGCTTCAGTTAGTTCTTATGATAGCTTGGGCATTATGGCAATCGAGGAACTCATGGCTGTATCAACAAAAAAAGCTTTCTAATGTTGAGATTGTACAGTCTGCTTTTAATTTATTTCATGATTTTCTGTATATGTTGGTTTGCCATAGTAACAGCCAGCCGATGTTCAGCCGTAGATTCAATGTACTAATTGGTAGGCACTAATGTTGGATTTTTAAAACTAAACTCTAATGCAAGTGTAAAGGAAAATCAGTTATGTAGTGCAGGTCTGACTTTCCAAAACCATGATGGACAGGTTATGGCAGCAGCAGCTAGATGCACAAACCTCACTGTTCCTCCGACTGAAGCAAAAATTGAAGCAGCCATCTATAGCCTCGAACTTGTTGTCGAGTTAAGCTTCACCCGACTACATTTTGAGACGGACTGCATGGAAATCATATCTGGCTTAAAAGCACACAACGTTCCTACTAATGAGTTTGGTACTCGCCTTCTGATGCTGTGAGTCTTAATAACTTAGCTCACTCATTTTGTGTTTAGCCATGTTAGTACGAAAGGCAACTATGTTGCTCACTCTCAAGTAAAAGAGGAGCTCATTTGGGTGGAAGATATCCCACCTCACTGTTTGTCTCTATTATTAGCTGACTTGTTGCAGTGATTTATAAATTTCAATGTTCCTTTTTTTTAAAAAAAGAAAGTTCATAATATCAATAATCTGAATATTTTTACAATGTTGAATATTAAAAGGGTATATGTGAAGTCACAAATACTAAATTAAACCTAAATCTAACTAAGAATAAATATAAAGTCTTACGTAAGATCCTGCTAAATAGAATCGAGGTACTCCAAGGAGATGAGACTAATATAATATGAATAAATAAAATAACTAATAAAGCCATCATATCATTTTATTATTTCCTATATCTAGCATTTAAAATTTCAAATTATGTACTACTTATGACATTAAATATTTATCTGATTTTAGAATTCTACAATTACAGTATCACTAAGATATTTATTTTTGGATTAAACTAGTATAAATGGAGATTATGAGGGTTTTATTCTACATCTATTTAGGAGGTTGATTATATTGAAACTAATTATTTGTTATGGACTTTGTTTAGGGCCCATATGTAGAATGAATTACATTATACTTTGTGAAGTAGGTCTTAGAATTTTAAGAATTAAAGACATTATAGGTCATATGTTAGACTTATTACAAATTTCAGACATTTTGTGCTTATTTAAGTCCTAATGCCCATTAGATCCATGGAAATGGGTCGCGATACAAATGGAGACTAGATATTTTATATTCATTCATCTTAATAAAATGCAACTTTGGTACTATGATTTTTAAAGAAGTCCAATTAGGTCTCAAAGATTTTTTTATCAATTTTATAACTAAATTTTTTATTTTTGATCGCTTAAATCAAAATCTAATAAAAAAAATAATTTTTCTATTTTAAAATAATAAAAGTATTTGATAATATTGACATAAAAAGAGAAAAAAAAGCAGCACTCTTATATATGGCAAGAGGGAAAAATCAAAGATAAAACTAAAATAATTATATTATGTTACATTCCATTCGATCCACCAAATACAACATTAAATCAATAACAAAGTTGAATCAATTATGTGTTGGATACAAATTTAAAGATGCAAATATATGCTACAAAAGATGATTTTCAAAATCTTTTTTTTTTATAGAAACATTGTGCATGAAGATGAAAGAGATAAAATTTTACTTGAGGTTAGATTTTCTTAGTCACTAGTTAATATCTTATCCTATTTTATGGTCATAGGTGCTTGTCGCCATCAATATCAAGCAAAGCAATATTAACATGCATGACCATAATTGGCTTAATTTCATTCGACGTTCGTTAACTATAAGCACTATCACATCACATTCTTTCAAATTCAATTTTTGACAGTAAAATTTCTAAACTCCAGTTTATGTAACGAGAAATTCACTTCTACTTGATTTTTAGGGAGGAGACGCTATAAAGATGATGTGGCGAGCCAACTCAGGTATTCTTTTTGTGGTTTATGCCACGTCAACCTAAAAAATTATGAAACTTCTCAAATAATTTTTTCTCTCTCTTACCTATTTATTCTTAAAAAATGTGTTGCCCCATTCTCTCTCTTAAGGTTTAAACTCGTTCTCTCTCATGCTCTCCCCAACCCCTATGTGCATTTTTTATAGCTCCGCCATTTCTAGTGGTTAAGCACAATCTTGTTCATAAATACTTGATTTTACAAGGAACTCCAAGTAATTTTAAGAATTTGGATGGTGTCCATAGGTGTCTTGCTCTAGTTTTGTTCATTGAATAATAATATTCTCCAAGAATTGGATCAAAGTAAGAAAAAGATAAAATTTTAAAGGAAAAAATAACAAAATTTTTAGGTCAAATGGAAAAGTAATATCAAAGAAGTAGAGTCCATCGTGGTATGGAGTGATGTAGCAGCAACACCAATGATTATTGCTCGTAATGAATCAATCCAATTTTCGTAAGTCTAAATATAGATCGAATTGGGAAGGGCTTTCTCGAGGATTTTCTCGTACATGATCTTTTGATAGAATTTGGAGAGCACCATAACCTGGAGTAATGCTTGGTTAAAAAAAAAAAAAAGAAAGGGAAGAGAATTTCTTGGTCGATAAGTGATACGGATCAAGGAAGCAAGGTGAGGGATCCTTTAGCTCTACCTGTTGGGCCAATCACAAGAGCTCGTGCAACTAAGCTACAATCAGCCTTGGATGCATTTGTTTAAGAATAAGTCACATTGGAGCTTCAAGATCATAACATTGCAAGATGTGGGATTGAACTTGAAGAAGCACCTAAGTTTATTTTGATGCTTGAGGCGTGTAAAGAGGCTGCCCATTGATGTATTGTAGATGTTTTATACTTAGGCAAATTTAGAAGAATGTTCTTTCATTGTAAGCCTAAGTATGGGGCGTGTAAGGCCTGTGGGCCCATCTATTCTATTTTGTTTAGTTTGTTTTATAGTGGGCCTAGTTATTTAATGTAAGGTTGGTTGAACTTATATTTCAAAGTTGAACCGGCCCTAGATTAGTTAATATTTAAGTTAGGCTGTTTTAATTAGTTAGCTTGGGCTTTGTATTTAATTAAGCCCATATGGGTTATATTGGGTTAGGCCTAGACTAGTCTGATTAAAGGCTAATTAGGTTTAGTTTTAGGAGTATTAATACTTGTTGTTGCTTAATTTGAAGGCAATCAAGCATAATTAATCAAAAACGTGATTTTATTCTTTCTTTCAAAGGAAGCCGAGTTCTTCATTGAATGAACGCAAATTAACTTTCATTAGTAATTAAGATTGTAAGTTCTACAAGATTAATTGCATTAAGAATTTCAGATTTGTTTTCAAGAGTACTTGAAGGTAAGTTTCTGTTTTCTTGTTTTAAATTCATTTCTTTGAATTTCAGATTTTGTTTTCAAGAGTACTTGACAGGTAAGTTTTCTGTTTTTCTTTGTTTTAAATTCATTTCTTTCTCTCTTCAAGAGTCTTAAGGTGGTTTAAGGGATTGACAAGGTTACTTCCAGAATTTCAGATTTGTTTTCAAGAGTACTTGAAGGTAAGTTTCTGTTTTCTTGTTTTAAATTCATTTCTTTCTCTCTTCAAGAGTACTTAGGGGTTTAGGGATTGACGGTTACTTCCATAATTGTATGTTCTTTGCTAGATTCTCCTTATTGATTATAAGAGTACTTGTTTGATTGGCTAGGACCTCATTAATAAGTCTCTTGAAAACAAAGTGAAGCTACATACATGGTGGCCTGGAGTAATGGGTCAGTTTCATCATTGATTTTTCTCTAAACCAACCATTTCTCCTTTCATTTGAAGCACGTATTTCAATTAGGCAATGCACGATAGGTGCAGACAATGACTGTACAATACTTAATAAACATATATTACAGTTCTTCTAGTCACAAACTAGATGGTCTCAAGATTCAGAGGTTTCACACTTTGCCATTCTTTGGTCACTATAGTGTTCCAATACCGATTGCACGTTGCTGACATATAAATTACATGATAGTTGCTTAATTTTGTCAAAAATCACAAATCACAAATCACAAAAGATACATGATATTCGATATAATAATTAACAATAATTGGCCTATTTTGAAATTGTATATATTCTAATGCTTTCACATTTTAAAACATACTCTTTCTATTGATCTTTTCCCATTCTTCTCCTTGATTTAGGTCAATCTCTATTCCAACAAACACATTTCTCAAATATCCTCTTAACCAAGATGACAGTAATTGCACATCACTTTTACATTTCTTTATGTTTTTTCATTATTTTTTCAGTCTTCTGAAATTTTTCATCTTTTAGTTGATGATGAAAAAATAGGGATAATGGATCGCTTTTCATATAGGAAAGAGAAAGTAATGGCTGGAGGAAAGAAAAATTAAGGAAGAGAGAATAGCACAGAACACATTTTCTGGGAAATAATAGACATGAGAGAGAAAAATTATAAGAGCAATTTCACACTTTTCCAGGCTTATGTAGCCTTAAAGACACAAAAAAAATAGCTACGTTGGCGCGACGCGTCAGCTTTCCAACAACTATCTCATTAGAAATTAAGTAAAAGGGAATTTCTCGTCACATAAATCGGAGTTAAGAAATTTTACTGTTATAAATTGAATTCGAGGGCTGTGATAGTGCATAATATAGTCGAGGAACCTTGGTGAAATTAAGTTGAATATAATCATTAATGGCTCAATTCATAAAATCGATGAATTAGACTCAAAACCATATTGGTTTTGCTTTTGAACCATTTAAGGAAGAAAATTGGGTTACACTGGTTAACCTATTAAACCGGTCAAACTACACAGATATGGTTGACCGGGACCATTTTATGATACCTTTAATTTTTTTTGTTATTTTGTAATTATTTTTAGATTATAATTAATTATTTAATTAATGTATATTATTAATATTTTTTATGACCTACTAATTGAACCATTGACCCAGCCAATTAAATAGTGGTTTGATTGGTCTTCTCACTTATGTGAGGAGTGAGAGGTTTCGAGTTCGAATTATCTCAATCACAGTTGAACAAAATTTGGATTATTTATTTTGCCTTTCCTCCTAGCTTTTTCTTGATTAGTTAAGCATATAGTTAGCAAGGGTACTCATATCATTTTAATTTGGAAAAATATTAACTTTGGTGTCTGAACTTTATGTTTTTTTCTATTTTAGTATATCGTTGGGAAATTTTATCAATCGAGTGCCTATATTTGTGTTAATTTGCAATCAAGTGGTTGAATGCTGAGTCAGCAAAGATAGACTTGTTTCTTAATAGCCAGTAGCTGACATGAAAATAACTAAGCGCACTTTATATAATCACATGATTTGCAGTGATTTCTTGCCATGATCCCTCTTTTTTTCATTTAATTACGACGTAAAAGAACCTTAAAGCCTCTGGACTTCAAATTTCTACTAAGTGATAGCTTCAACATACTCACCTGGTAAAGTCTGTGTATGTCCTTCCAGACTATGAATGCAAACAAAAACCAGAACAAACTAAATCCAAGCCAAACTAAACCAAAACAAGCACCATAACTAAGGCAAGATTTTTTTTTATTCGGTCCCAAATGGCAAAACAAGGAATAGATATTGCACATGAGTAATACTTGAATACCATATCACTAGCTTCTTCACCTACTCAGTGAGCAAGAAGGATCTTGGCTACATGTTTGGTGATTATTCAATGAAATTATATCATCATGAAATATAAATTGAGATCTTTCACTATATGCATCAAATTATATAAACACATAATTAAGTTCAAAGACATTTTGGAGTTGTTTAGAATTAACAACAGGGAGGAAAAAAAAATCCATTTTCTCTTTCAATTTCTATAATTTTCTAGAAAACCAAATAGCAAGGCTAGAATAAAGCGACAACGAAGGTACCTGTTTAGAATGACGAAACCTCCATTAGCCCTCTCATTTCTTGTTTACAATGAATAGAATATCCATCTTCTTCAACCTCTACAACCTCAATTCTTTCTTCTTCCTGTCCCAACATCTTTAAATTGAATCTCCAAACACCTTCGATCACCGGTATATCAATTCTCGCTAGCCTATTTCTTTAACACTATACTAGAATTAACTTCCAACCTTTTTTTCGACGAGACACCAAATGGAAAAAAAACACAAAGTTCAAGTATCAAAGTTATCATTTTCCCTTTTAATTTTAATAAGTATTTCTTCTTAAAAAATAATTTATCCTGAATCAAACCAAATAAGTCAAAGTCACATACTTCAACTTCCTCTGAAAAAAATTCCCCAAAAATTGAATTTCTTCTTAAAAAATAAATTATCCTGAATCAAACTAAGCAAAAAAATAAAAAATTCACTGGATTCTTTTTTATTTGTTTAATCTTATGTTTTTTAAAATATTATTAAATATATCTTACCGTTGAAAAATAAAAAGAATAAAAGATGGTTTTTTTTTTTTTTTTGAGTGGGTACTAGATTAAGGTTTCTCTCTTCCTCTTTTCTCTTTAGTTTATCGAACCCTTTTGTTTTGGGCTACCGTTGTTAATCAGGGGTAGCCTCCTACTTTTCTTTTATTCTCGCTCTTAATCTTTTATTTGTTTTTAATAAACTTGGTTCTATTTTCTTTTAATATATCTGTTTTTTTCTTTGTTTTTTTTTATTATTGTTTCTTTGTCTCCATATTTGGAGTTCTTTTATCCCTTCTTCTGTGAGGGGTTTAGTTTATTCTTTACGAAGGTTTGTTCTTAAAAGGTTTGATATTTGATTTTATTTTGTTGGAGAAATTGGATCTTGTTTTATTGATGGAGTCTAGTAGTGCGGCCGTTCCTCCATTGATGTTATTAATGCATAGTGGTTTGAACTCATCCATGCACATCATACGCAACAAGTTTTTGGAAAAGCAATCCAATTATAGAAGATCCAGAGAAATTATTTTGTCGTGCAAGTCAATTAAAGGATAACTGCTATTTTAAAGATTTATATCGGTCAAAGTTATTTTCAAGCGGAAAAATTCAATATCGTTTCTTTTAGTTTTGGTTTTATTATTCAAAAGAATATAAATAATTTTTTTTATTGTCGAAGGATCAACGAAAGTTCTATGTCTGGTCTAATTGAATAATTTTTATACTTGATTTTATTATTAATGAATTATATTTCTGAAAGATTTTTTTTTTTTTGTATAAATTGGGTTTAATTGAGTCCAATTAAAAATTTAGATATGGAATTGTTTTTTTATTTTTTTCTTTTAAAAAAAATAAATTAAACTAATTGGATTTTTTCCTTAAAAACCAAGTGGTATAAATTATATTTACAATTATTCAATTCAATGAAGACAAATGAACGTGGACGGAGCAGATAATAAAGTGGGAAGCCAAAGGCAATGGAGGAACGCAAGATATTTATTTGTTATAGATCCGTGTTTGGAATATGCGAGCTTCGCTACACAGCACGTGGCATGACACGAAAATCGATAAACCGTTAGTGTTCATTCCTTCAGTGCCATCAACAGCCATAGCTAACTACAGTTATAGCCAAGAGGCTTCTTCTTCTTGTTCATTCTTCCTGGCTCTCTTTCTCCTGTGTCTTGTACAGAAATGGATTCTCTGCGTGTATCGCACCTTTTGAATTCGTCTCCTAGAACCAATTTCTATAGAAAGCAATTGAAATTCCAACATTCTCTCCTCAATCCAAGGATTTCTTTTCCTCTTCGCAATCGATCAACTAGCTTTAACAGAATCATTTGCGGTGTTTCCTCTACTCAAACTAGGTATTTTGTTTATCTTCTTCTTTTTAGCTTGAGTTTGTATTATTCATTGAATAATTGGTTGCTGAGATTGAGTTCTGCAAGCAAGAAAAACTGCGTAAACAAATTGTGTTCTGATTGGTAATGCTGTCCTTTTGTTTGTCTGAATGCAATGCTAAATTTTATTTTTCTTGCTTAATCTGAATGGGGCAAGGAAATGTTGGGAAAGATTTACGAAACGATATGAATTATTAACATTGAGTTGTTTGATTGATAGAAAAAGCCATATGGTTGCACTTCTGGAAAATCCAATGGAATTTTGTTATTTTCATGGGATGAGATATTTGTCAATGTTATTTTTCTTGGCAATAAAATTGAGCCTTTGGCTGTCTACTTTTTCCCATTCAACATGAAAGCCGAATATTACTTGTTTTCTGCACAATATTTTGGGATTGAAAAATGACGAACCCATAATAATTTGAAACATTAAAAGATAAATAATGTTCCCATATTTTTTCCTTTAACATATGCAATAGTTTCCTGATTGATTTTAGCTTTTGGTAGTCAGGGAGTTTGGAGTTTTCTAAGTACAATATGTACAGAAAACAGCAAATTCTTGTGAAAGTAATGAGATGTGTGGATGTTTTATGGTTTGTTCAAGGTCTTTAATCTTTAGTAATTATCAGAAGTGGATAATGAAATTGGTTTTGTTGCAGGGAGGAAGAGAAGAAGATGAAAACAAACAAATCAAAGTCAGGGAGTGGAAAGGTGCGACTTAATTTTCGGCTAGATCACCAAGTTGAATTTGGAGACCATGTAGTAATTTTGGGGTCTACCAAAGAACTGGGTCTATGGAAGAAGAATTTGCCTATGACTTGGACAG